TGGGCCTCGAGTTTCCAACCTTCTCTTATTTCTTACTGGTGGGGGAAAAAGTCTTAAAACAGGCTAAATTAAAAAAATAACCACGCAGAGCCAAAGAAGTGCTATTTCTCAATGATTGGGTAAAATTTCAGGGCTTTATTTCACGTTTCAATGATTTTACTGAAATTTTTGATGAATCTCCATACATTTCCTTATGATAGGATACCACAGAAACCAAGCTTGGGCTACCTGTGAGCACATACGCATTTTTTTCATTCTTATATTCTTATTTTTTTTACAAAATACAAATAAGAGTAGCTATTATTTTGGACATAAACGACAAATGAGAAAGTACGTATGTGTGCTGCAGTGTGCTCTCATAAAGCACAAGCTCCCAAACAATCAGAACAAAAATATGTAACAGTCATTGYTATTATTTGTGATTAAAAAAATTGCCAAAAGAGAAGTATGCATCTTTCTGGCTGCACATATTCATCATTACTTGTTAAAAATAGAAATTAGTTTTACCTTTTTCTGCTTTATCTCCTCCTTCTTCTCAGATTTTCTCTTGTTTCCTTTTTTGTATTTTGTTAAAACTGCAGGCTGAAAGAAAAAAAATGATTCTCATCAAATATGCTGTTATAGAACGTCAATTCTAGGTGGGATAATTGGGGTACTGCCAGTTTGAGTGTAACGTTTTTCCATTTCAGACCTTGAGTATTAATTCTTTGTTTAATGGTTGTGCATGAGAAGACACAAAGAAATTGTATTCTCAAGAAAATGGCACGTTGTCTGAATTGGGAAAACATTTCCAAAGGAAAATAGGTCTATTGGAAAGGAGGTTTGGCTTTTATCTTTTCACTTGACGTCATTTCCTGTCTTATGAAGAATGTTCAACAGTTGAATCAAAAGTTTTCAATAGGATTCTTTCTGGCTGACAGCAAATGGTGGTCAGTGTTTGACCACCCTTTGGAGATTTAAGGACTTTTATGAGCTGATTGGATTGTTCAATTGTCTAGAAGTATAAGAAGGGAAACAAACCTTTTCTTCAGGTAGTTGCTTCCCGAGAATTTTCGCCATAGCATCTGCCCAACCTTCATTACCAGATTTTGCATCTAACAAATGAAAATCCAATGCGAAATCATATATTTTAAAAATTAGGTCTTGAATAAAAAAAACAATGTACAAAATACATAGTTTAACTATTATAGCCTAAATATGATCTGAGGGATTCTTAGATATATTAACAAGGAGTTCAATAAGAGTATAAAAATTTTAAAAATCGTATAAAAAGGAAAATCTTTAAACTTTTTAGTGAAGTTTTCATTTGATCTCACCACGTGGGTTGACTCGGAAGCGGAATTTCGCAATATTTTACTAAAAACTCAAGCCTTTTAATTTACTGAACCCTGCATAAATACATTTTCTATTAATTCCTTTACCATTATTGTGATTATCCTCGTCCACACTTTCTTGGTCAGACATTTTTTCTTCGTCTGAATACTGAACATCAACAGTGTTGACCGCCATCTTGGTTTATTATGATATACCGCTGATATTAGTATTGCATGCGCAGTAACTAACCCGCGGGATTCGGGATTCGGGATTTGAGTGACGGTTGGGGGTGTGCATTGGGAATGATGGGGGCGGTAGCACAATGCGTGAACCCACATCTACATGGATGAGTGCAGGACACATTTTCTAGCAAAAAAAAAAAAAAAATGGAATTTCAAAACCTTTAAAAAAACCTTCACATTTTTAGATAATRCACTAAAGATAGACCTTTATTTTTACTGTTCCTCTCCAAACAGCAAAGTTCACAGTATAAAAATGACATAAAAAAAAAAAGATATAAGATCCTATAAACCCATATATTCAATGCATAAATTCCTATTCTCAGTCTTTTGTCATGAGGATCAAAAATGCACCACTCCTTTGAAATCTTGCGAGTGGCACTTGACTTTGAAGGTCATTCAAGGTTATATATTTCAAGAATTTTTCTTAGTTTTGAGGAATTTAACCTGTTCCATAAAAATTATTATTCAATTTTCCTCCAAAATTTCATAAAGAACTGCCGTACTTTGATTTTATTTTTAGTGCAACACCTCCGCAGTTATACGTTTTCTGAAGCACGAACGCACGCATTATTCTTGTAGGTCATTCAATGTCATAGCGACGTGACGTCATGGTAGAAGACACGTGAATGATTTATGTTGATAAATAAACCGCGGCGGACCGCGGCCATGTTTACGTTCAAAGAAAAGCGACAAGAAGAGAAAAATGGCGGAAATTGCTACACGGATCGAAAAAATGGCCTCGCAAGGCTGTGAACAGCTCAGTTTACTACGGTACAGACTATCACCAGCCGATGTGGTAGGTGTGAGTTTATTTTTATTTATTTTGGAAGGTTTCTTGGGGGATAAAAATTAGACAAAAAAGCCGCGACCGCTTGCGTGTCGGTTTCGGCTGATCGGAAATGTACATCATCTTAAAAACCCTTAAAATGGACTCTTTTTATTGTTAAATAGAGCCGTATTTTTCACGTTTTCGTGTGTAATTCAAAGGAGAATACCTACAGAGCAAAACAAGTTCATTTTCATGTTGTTATTGCTAAATTCTGACAATATAATTGTCAACAAAACACTGAATGTTTACTAGTCCGCTTTCAAACATCCTTCATTCTTTCCAATGATTTTACTAGTTTTATAGTTTACAATCATTATTGAAATAATTCTACTTAAATGCCAATAATCAATAATTTTCACATTTTTGATATCTTCGTTATAGCGTAATAGAAATTTGAATGTAGGTTATTTTAGCTAGAGGGAACTACTTCTGTGAGAGCAGTGTACTTTGACCCGATAAAATAGAAATACGTAAAGAGAATCATTGTAAGCTTATATTTATATTTTTGAACGTAATAAATTCTGTTCTTGGTTACTTTATCAAGGCTCTTTTCTAATAACATCAAAAGACTCCTATACATTGTCTAAACTTTGGATTAAACAATTCAATTTTTTTCAAACGAATATTCAATTTTATTAGCGTCGACTATAAAACGAAAGCCCATGCAGCATTTTCCGCTTAGACCTTTGATCTTTCTCTATTCTCAATAGCCGTTTAATTGCATTTCTACATATATAAGCTTAGTGATGAAAGAAAAAGCAACGAGAAACCGTAGTTTTTTTTTTACCCCTTGCTATGAACTTTTAAGTGTATCGGAAATCTCCAGTAGAGCGGTGGTTAGAGATATTCTAAATACATTTATACGGTTTACTTTCTACGAGTATAACGGGGTAGTGGGAAATGATGCTACTAGATCATAAAACTACTTGATAATTACATTGTAAAGTTTGATTGCCAGTTTTGCATTGCTCTGGTACGAATTATCATCATTTTAATTATAGCCATTCTGCAAGAACCTTTTCCACAAATGAAACTGAATGCTATGGAAAAGTTATATTTAATATTCACCGCAAATTCCATAAATACAGGCATTGCGCGTCATACATGTCGTACCTACTCAGAAATGTTGTGTATGTGTAGTGTAATACATTGCAATGGATTTATTTTCTTTTGTGCATTTTAATCCCCAAACCTGTTTTTGTCCAGTATTGATTACGAAATCTGAAAGCACTATTGTTGTCTTCAATCTAACCATTTATGGCAGATATGAAAGTACAAGTCTCAGCTGTGATTTGTTCCATAAGCCAATACGTCCTATTATCTTAGTACATCATATTAAAAAGCTCTTTTCCTCAATTGCATGCTACATCACCGGGGTCATGTTGGCATCATTTAACAAAAGATTTCTCATTACCATGCATTATTAACTGCACCAACATGGACCCCATATTTTTGTCTTTTGACGCATGCGAATGCTTGCAACCCTATAGTACCATAAAAATTTCCACAGTACAGGTTAATGCAGTCATTTATAAATCAAACAAATTTTTCCTTGCAGTTTAAGAGTGTTGGTCCTAAGCTGGTCCCATTTTTTAAGACATTCTGTGTATACTTCGTTGCCTGGCAACCAGAATCCTCCAAGCCTACAGTTTTTGCGGCAATAATCAAGATCCTACCCATATTATGCCTCTGCGGCTTCGTCATGCTCCAGGGAATAAGCATGCAGAAAGACCATGATTATAGTCGTCGTATTCTGATTGGTCTGATATTCTCGGCTATTGGCGACATCTGTTTGGTGTGGAAGTATCAGCTCTTTATTCATGGTATGGCGGCATTTGCCATCGCTCACTTGGCATACATGAGAGCATTTGGGTTTCAGCCATTAAAACCTCTTACAGGGATGATTTGCCTTTTTATCATGCTTCCAACATATCATTTATATTTTCCAAACTTAAATGGCATGCTTGCCATTGCTGTGCCATTGTATATTGTCATTATAGGCATAATGGTCTGGAGGGCAATCTCAGGACTTCAAGCACAACTACTGAGTGACGACGGACTCTGGCGGTGGACCAAACTTTGTGCGTGCCTCGGAGCACTCTCATTTGGGATATCCGATACTGTAATCGGATTCAACATGTTTTATTTCCCAGTGCCATACTCCAGATTTATCGTCATGACAACCTACTACGCAGGCCAGCTTGGTATTGCATTATCTACTTTTAGTCTAGACGACGAGAATAATCTTAGAATGAAGAGTAATATAAAACAGGAATGAACATAACCATTATAATTTGCCATTTTTCATACATCGATTCAGTAGTGAAGTAAGCATTTGGTCAAGGCTCCAAGGTCAACAAGGTCCAAATTTGAATAATCTTGTTAAAGTACTGTACAGGCCCACAAATGATCCCAGGACCGCAAATGATTCCGGGACCACAAATGATCCCGGACCGCAAATGATCCCGATACTGGATCGCAAATGATCACGCAATAATATACGGAATGGTTTGGAGTGGGGGAATCCTATAAATACTTTTACTTATGTATTTTCAACTTAGACTCAAATCGTATTTAGAATAATATGAACTTCATTTTTAATTCTGATTATAGCTCTTTCTTTTCTCTATCCTTTTTAAAGTCTTTTTTCGTTTTTTCATTGTCATCCTCCCCAGCAAATCCTCTTGAAATTATTAGAACTAAGAGCAAAACAGTCGCAAGTATTCGAACCAAGTTGACACTGACAGTTCGTAGCACTGCAAGCATGTCAACAAAGGAAGCCCAAGCAATGAGATTTTTTATCATAGAATTGAAGAGATTTTAAACATGTTAAATGTATACAGATACATAATAATTTATTGCTTCGAAATATATTCACATATATGCATCAGGAAAGTTGTGATACAGCTTGCATACAACCCATATTTYATTATTATTATCTTCCCGTTTTTTAAATGAACAAAAGAACTGTAAATCGTATTATATTTTGAAACGCAACGTTTGTCACAATAATTATCCATGTTGAGGATTCCCCCACTCCAAACCATTCCGTATATTATTGCGCGATCACTTGCGATCCAGTATCGGGATCATTTGCGGTCCGGGACCATTTGCGGTCCTATTCGGGGATCATTTGCGGTCCCGGGATCATTTGCGGTCCTGGGATCATTTGCAGGCCTGTACAGTACCCCTCAATAGACCTAATCCACTGTTTTCTCAATTCAAAGCATGTGTCATTTCCTAGAGTATTATTTCTTTGCTTAGAGGTTGTAAATGAAAAAAACATTTTAATATAGATGATTAGTACTCAAACAAAGAATCTTATACTCAAAAGAGTGACAGGTGGTCTGAAATGAGCAAAACATTACACCTTAGTGGATTTAATCAATATTATTGCATGCTCGTTTGACTAGTGATCTGAAGTATGAAAATTGTTGAATACTGAACATAATTTTTAACTAATACCACAGCAAGCTAATCATTCACTGTCAAAGAAGATATATTTGTACAAACATTATGTATTTTATTTTAGATAAACAATATAATTTTTTGAACTTTAATTCAGAATTGACAAAAATTATGGCATTTTTTATGACTTGCATAAAGTTGAAGCAATCTATCCTGGTTGTTAATAATTTATAATATTATCTAGGGGGTTTGTACCTATATTTTATTATTGCGTCGAGTTTCAGAGGCTTCTCATTTACTGCTCATGCTGTACAGTGTAGAAGCTCAATTTGAAGGACATAACAATAGGTAACTTCCAATACTCATGAGATTTAAATTATTTTGTTTTGCCCTCCAAATTGAGCTGCTTTGAATTCACATGCAAAAGGTCTATGGTTTATTGTGTTTATTATGTGAAATATTTTTTAAGCTTCGAAAGGTATTTGATGAGAAAGTCGAGAACTATTTATTTTTTCTGACATAGATCAGAGCACATTGTACAAGAAATAATATTGCAACCAATGTTAAAATTTTACTGTGTGAAAACTCTAAGAAAATGTTGTTTTTGTTTATAAAACTTTCTTCACAAGGGAAGGAAAATGTCATGTCTTATTTGGTCTAAGGGGAAATTATTTTAAAGACCATTATTTTCATCTTCATCACTTTAGCATATTTTATCATTTTTTTATTTAATTCATAGTATAGTTCCAGAAAAAAAAGATTATCTTATCTCCAGAGAAGAAGAGAAGTCTCAGCTTTTAGGTGTACCATGATCACACCCTCCCCCATCCCCCACCCCTCGAATATTTAATCCCCCTCCATAGGGAGGTATGGATATTTTCTGAAACTACACGATATCCCTCCTCAGACCCTCCCTATCACTTGGAAGTTCCAATCCTCCTTCATGGGAGATGTATGAATATTTTCTGGAACTATGCAATATTCTTGAAGTACTAAAAATCCCTTGAGATTTCCCTGCTAGCAGAGTCTCTCTTCTCTTTCTCTCCCTTCTTTCACGCAATGAAGAAAAATAGTCTCTGCTAGCAGGGAACCTTGAGATATAAATGACAATGAAACAGCTGGCATGTTGGTTGGTCTAACGAGAGAAGCTAATGAGGAATACTTTGTTCTTGTCAACCAAGATGGCAGCTTGAGCTATGACATAACATCCACCTCACCAGATATTTCCTGGAACTATATACAAAGTATATCCATGTACATAATTTGGGTGAATGGAAATAATTATCAAAGTATAAATCATATTTTGGATAAGAATTAATTTTACATGTTAACAAAAATGCATCTCAAACAAAGATGCTTGTAATCGTAATATACACCTTGTAAAATTGTTTTAGTATCAATGGATAAATAATATTATGAGGGTGACAATGTATGGAAATAAAAGAATTAAAATATATCTTTAAGTTTAATCTTTTTGTATGACAAAGTTAGAAGTTAAAAGTTTAATGTTTTTTTCCTCCCCTGCTTAGAGATTTATAAGTTCACCAGTTATTTCTTAATCCACAAAAGGTGAAAGACATAGAAATAATATAAATATAAATAATTATTGAAATCATTTTTTCAGAAAAAATTGTCRAAATTTTGGACATGCAAACTCCAGAGTACAACTAAGTCAAATGCTCTATTGAGTTACTGCAAGTTACCGGCGTTTGCATTGCTATGTGGCCACCCCAGACAAAAATCGCCACGTGCACTTTGCAATAGACTGCCGTAAATCAAACGCATTGACGTCATTTACACACGTGTGTGATTCAAAAGGCGACAAAACTTCGGTCGATTGTTTACAAGTACACCGGTCCGATCCAAACACGTGTGAATGACGTCAACTTGTTTGATTGACGGCAGTCTATTGCAAAATGCACGTCGCGATTTTTGTCTGGGGTGGCTGCGTAGCAATGCAAACGCCGGTAAGTGAGAGCTACATGATCTTGATGGTCAACAACTTGTTAAATATATACAAAAGGCTCTATTTAGCATATTACTGACAGGTTTTAAACCTGAAACCTCTTGAGTATATGACTGTCAGGCATTTTTTAACTAGTATCTGGCAAGGCATAGATGGTACGCAATTTGTTTCATAAGATAATAGAAAATACAAGACAATTACTTATTAAGATAAAACAAATACAATAAAGTTACTCACGTTTAATAACTCTTGTCTGTAAAGTTTAAAATCACTCTTATTTACAATATTATAAGAACACTATTTATATATTATATGTACGTATCTGTATGTAATCATGCCATACATCTCAGCAGTTTTTTCTAAAAATAAATTATATAGCTAAAAAAAGGAAGTTATGAATAATTGAAGAATCAAATTACTATCAATAATAGTTTTCTTGTTCTTTTTTAGCTCAGCAATATCTCAAAAATCTAGCTTAGCTGCGGGTGTAAAAAGATTTTTTTGTTATGAAAATGTAGCTTTTGCGATGTTGGATTTAGTTTCCAAACACTGCAAAGTTTTTAAATAATTGTTTACACCCAATGTCATCAAACACTATCATTCTTCCCCTCAATTCACTCGTCGTGGTACAAAATCGCTACTTTTTGGGTCAACTCACCCATTGTCATAGTAACTGCCTGTTGTCATGATAACAAAATTGCTACTGCTTGGATCAATTCCCCTGTTGCCATAGTAACTGCCTGTTGTCATGGTAACATGAATTTCAAGCTGACTGCAAAGATTTCACTCTTAAGGTTAAAGTAGTAGTTCAAACTTACACAATGAGATGAGGCAAAATATTATTGTCAAGATGTTACATGTATATGTGTTAGGTTGTTCATCTTTGGTAGACAAAGTACCTTACATGTAATCTCTTGTTACGGTATGCATTGCCATGGTTACACGTTGCTACAGAAACTGTTACCATGGTGATCAAGCAAGCTCGTAGTACTTGTGACTCTTAGGGTCAAAGTAGCAGTTTAAACACGGGTCATATAGCAGGTCAAGTTCCATTTCTCCAGTGTTGCCTTTATTTGCAAGTTGCTCTTCATCGGCAGAAAAAGTAGGCATGATATTAATGGTCGGAGAAAGCTGTGATGAATATGGTGGATCGGACATTCCTTGACCTTTGAATAAGATGGGACATACAGATATGTAAGATAACTATCACTAAGATAATACCAATACGATACATTTGTTAAGGGAGACCCTTTCAAGCTTCAAATAATGCTTTTCCATTTTAGACGTGACATTCCCTTGAGTATCATTTCTCTGCATTTGAATAACACTCGGTAAGGGACATTAATAAGGATGAGAATTGTAAGTAATATATACAATATGAGTGGCCGTAGTGATTGTATATCTGATACAACACGGTCACTCATATTGTATATTACTTATGAAACGTCTAGGTGTATGCATTCATGTTCTACTATAATTTTAAAGATAAAATTGAATTTGGCTAAGAAAATTGGAGTTAAAGTTTATGCAAATCAGGACGATTTTGTATCGGGTAAACAGCCTCCTCCACAGGCAATGATTTCTATTGTGTTTTACTCATTATTTATTCATGAGAATTTTATTCTTTAGGCAATAATGAAATGTCTGAAATGGGAAGACATTGAAATCAAGATGATTATGCATTGTTAGCAGAATGAAGGAACTTAGTACTAAATATTTCTTTACTTTATACTTACCATTCGTAATCTTTTCACTCGGCATAATGATCGGTGGACTGAACACATCAGTATAATCTCGTGGATCTAATGGTAATGTTGCTGACATGTCAGGCTCTGGACCAGGATGCTTAGAATGAAATAAAAAAACTGGTGGTTAAAACATTAGAAATCGAATAACAAAATATAGTAAAATTATTTAACGAAGTAGTCAAATATTACGTTCACTTATTAAATAAATAATGCTGATACAAAAGAACCAAAGTCAAAGATTGGATCAAGGAATCTAGAGTGGATTCAATTATTCAGAATATTTACCTAATTACCCAATATTCACTTCGCCTTTGGCAAATAATTGTTAAATGTAGTGTCATTTGTACTGTCGTTGTAGACCACTTGTATAATGCTTCTTACTAGTTTAACAAGTTGTCTTTAACAACTCACCATCATTTCATCCTGATATCGATGATGTTTTGTAGTAGGTGGTGGTGCTTTCCACGTACTACATGTCTCATCACTATCATCAGTTAAGGAATCCCCATCATCATTATCTATGATGCCATCTTCACAACCTTCCAACTCTTTATTCATAATTTTTTTCAGCAATGGGTTATCATCGCCAAGGGAACTATTAAAGGACTGGTCCAATAATGAACTAGCGTTAGAAGTATCGAGCCTCCACGAGCTGCCAGCATCTGATTGGTAATTTCTCCAGGAACTGGTTGTTGATTGGTAGGCTTTGGAGTCATAGGTTTTACTTGCTATGACTGACGAAGGGATCTGTGAAGGAAATTAGTCAATAATCTAACTTTTAGATGTAATGGCTCCTTTTTGCATAATTTTTTACTGAACTATTCTCAGGCCATAATTTAGAATTCCCCACAGGTTCATCACTGGGACCAGTATTAAATAGAATCACTGGAAATAGTAAATAGAATCAACATGTGGGATTCCCCAAGGTTCATTACTAGGACCAGGACTTAGGTCACTGGGAAGGGGAAATAGAATCACGAACATTGGATTTCCCCAAGGTTCATCACTGGGACCAGTAGTAAATAGAATCACTGGGAATAGTAAATAGAATCAACATGTGGGATTCCCCAAGGATCATTACTAGGACCAGGACTAAAGGTCACTGGGAAGGGGAAATAGAATCACGAACATTGGATTTCCCCAAGGTTCATCACTGGGGCTGAGATTTGACTAATATTAATTAATATTACTAAATAATATTAAATAAAATTACCTCCTTTAATAAGCTGCTTTTAATACTTGTTCTCAGTATATGTGGTGTTTGCGACGGCTCTGGCGTATATTGCATGTTTGGACTTCTAGGACTGTGCTTTGAAGCCCTTGAACTTGCACGTGAAGCATTGCTGCTCTTTAGCAGTTTTTGAAGAACATCATCATCAGAACTATCTTCAGAATCACGGTAAAAATCTTCTTCATATTCAGACTTTTCACTTTCTTTCCTATCTCGTCCGCCAGGTACATTTAAACTGTCTCTAGACTCAGATACCTCAATATCTGGCTTAGTTTCTGCCAGCGGGCTCCCAGCGGAACCATTTTGCCGTCGTTTGCGGCTCCTTGGTGACCTTGGTGCCGACCTTGGCTTTGACGAGAAAGTGAACATCATATTTTTCTTTTCATTCCCATTATTTGCTTGATTCTCTTTTCCATTTAAATCAAGCTTCCCAAAACTTTCCCCTAGAGGGCTCTCATTTCCAGATGCTTTCAAAGAACTTTCACTCTGAGATCTTGAAATTGTCTCAGCTTGGGAATCCAACTCCCTATCGTCCTTTTGACTTCTCTCCGTCGATGACCCCTCAGGCTTTCCATAACTTGACGTACTATCACCTAATTTTTCACTTTCTGAAGTTGACCGTGAACCTGCATTTTGGGTCTTAATTCCACTATTCCCTCGTATCCTAACTGGCCGTCGCCGTGACTTTGTCCCAGATCCTGTCCGAGGAGGTCTTGGTTGAATTGCTGATGGCATTGCCTCAATACCAAGTTGAAGTTTTGATTGGTCAACATCTGTGGTTTCAGACATTGATCTTTGATATTTCCCCCTGCTTGTTAAATAACTGCTCTCTCGGCAAGTTTCAAGGTCATTAGCTGGAGATCCAGTTCTAATATGCGTTATGGAGCTACTCCTATTAAAAGAATTTGCCGACGATCGCCCACCAGCAGACCCTGGGCCACCTTCTCGGGACGATTTCCTTGCGTGTTTGGGAATCACAACCTTGGATCCAAATGCTATATGGGTTGGTTGTTCTTCTTTTGACGATAAAGTGTCAATCTCAGACACTCCTGGGGTTGGCGGAGGAGGCAGCCCTGCTGCTTCTCTGGCCTTTAGGTCTGTCTGTCTTAACTTTGAAATATTAATTACCTAGAACAAATTCAAAACGTTTATATCATACGTAAATTGGGTATTATGTATGGTGGGGAATATTTGGAGAATACAGAGAATAGACTCATGAATCAGTAAACATATCTTTAAATAAGTTGTGGTTAGGGAATGCTTGCTTCTTTCTTGCTAAAGGGTACCATCACCAATGTGAAATATATTTTTCCTTATATAAACATTAACTCAGTCAATTAATTTATTAATATATACTTTTTGGAGGCATAACACTAATTTAATGTGCTAACAATTCATTAATGTACTAACATGCGTAATAGGTAAATATTACGAGCCTGTTCTTATTTGATATCTGAGCCCATCCCACATGCCTTACTCCCTCATCTATAACGTACTAACAACTCACTCATGATTGTAAGCTGCACAGCGGCTAATAACGCCTTAATATGCAGCCCGTAAAGTCCTTCATTGGTCATAATTGTGAAGCGCATTGAGACAACTGTGAAATGCACTATATAAGAACCTCCCATCATTATTATTTTCATTTTTTAAAATTAATAATTACTTTATTAAATAATATATATCAAATCCTAACTTCATAATAATAATATCAGTAATGAATCAATAATTTATTTATACATAATTGTATGTTAAATGATAATAATTTATAATTTAAGAATATTTGGACTAGTAAGAGGTAAATCCATCTTTCTATAAAACTGCGTACTATTTACCAAATTTATCATTTTCATTTCCCCCCTAACAATTAATGTACAGTAAAATAGGGCAAAATCATAGTAATTAAAATTGAAAACATCAAGAAAATTGAAATTTTGCATCTGAATTTTTTTTTAACGATTCTAAAAAGCTTTAAAACTCAAAAATTATACATTAAATTTCTAGAAAAAATAAACTTAATAATATATATAAAATATACATGTCATTTATTGTGTCCTCTCAAAATAAAATGAAAATAAATTATTGGCCCCCAAAGAACACGATTTTATAGTTTAAAAAATAATAATTTAGGCATATATCTTGAAAATTTAAGTGTTCAAAATAAAATTTCCTTTTACAGAATGAAAAGTCCTTATTACAGTATGTTTGTGAAGAAGCATACAATATTATTGTTTTGCTTAAAAAAATGATAATTCAGGCTTACCTTTTAGAAAACAAGCATTCAAAGCTTTATCTTATGGTAGAAAAAGCTCTCACAATACAGAAACGAAAGCAAATGTTTTTTCTTAATGTTATTGTTATGGAGAGGTTCTATCCATGGATATTGAGAAAATTTCTCATTATTTTGGAACTAAGCAGCTGCTAACATGATAACAGCCTGAGTTTTTGAAACAGTAAGTCGTACAATGATGTCATGAAATAAGCTCTCACAGTATCAAGATAGAAGGAAATGTTTTCTAGATGATATTGTTTTTGACAGGTTCTATGGATATGGGAACCAGAATTTCTAATTATTTTTGAATAAAATAGTAAGCAGCTGTTAGCATCATAATAGGGTTTTGCAGTAGGAAGTCATGCAATGATGCACAAACATCATCAAATGAAACCACTTGACATCTWTATCTAATATACAACACCCTTGAATCATTTGTTATGAAATTTCCATATCGTGCTACAAAGACGTAGTTAGTAAAGTCAAACATATTTTTAATGACTAACATAGATTATTAATCCAATTGTAATGGGGTCTACTTTTTATCTCCAAGGAATCAATGGGAACATTAAAGTGTTTTCATATTCAAAATTTTTTAAAAATCTTTTTGCTTTTAAGAGCTTCTTCTTTTTTTTAATTTCTTTTTTTAAAGTCAAATATATTTTAATGACTAATATAGATTATTAATCTATGTAATGGGACCTACTTTTTGTCTCCAAGGAATCAATGGAAACATTAAAGTACTTCAAGTTTTAAAGTGTTTTCATATTCAAAATCTTAAATCTTTTTTGCTTTTAAGAGCTTCTTTTTTTAATTTTTTTGTTTTGTTTTTTTGTTTTTTGTTTTGGTCTGGGACTGATTAGACTTGTGAACCAAATGGAAAAACTTCCACTCCATTGAAATTGATATTTCCAAAATAGGTCTAGAAAGGGCAATAATAAATGTTACAGCCATTCTCAATCACACACGCCCTCTAACGATTGTTTTTGTCACAATGAAGAAGGTTTTGGTCGACCTTAATCACAAGGCGTTTCCATGACATTGTCGGAAAATATAAAGCTATAAGGGCATGTGCCTATAGAATGTCATGGAAATTCCTTGTGATTGGCGTCCACCAAAAGCTTCTTCGTCACGGCAGAAACAATCGCTAGAGCGGCACATGTGATTGGCTGTAAACCATTATTGATAATACACCAATATCTTCCTCTCCAGTACTGTAGATTTACAAGTGCCCCTGGAACCTCCAAGAAGGGTCCAAGTAGTGTACGTATATTGTGTAGTTTCAATCACATCTCCCACCCACACAGGAGAAATGAAAATTACGAGGGGCTGTGAGTTGGTTAAAATATAGGAAATATTCATGCCTTTTTCACAGAGCAACCAGATGATCTGAGAAAAAATATTAGCCAATCCGAACTGAAAAAAAAAATTGCAAAACTGAGGTATCATTTTTCCTCTTGAAATTATTATGGATTTCCAAGCTACCGAATCAAAAATAACGTTGCTACTATGTGATTGTTAAGACTAACGGAAATGATTTAACGTCGCTTATATAGAAAGATTGGGAGGGATCTAACATAAAATCCTGGGGTTATAAGTGCTGTGCTAAGACTCTTTTAATTGGTTCCTTCATTGGCTTATGACTGGTGCGAAATTTTGACTGGAAGAAGAAAGAGCTTTGGAAGTTTTATGCGTCAATGTGTCATCGATGCCTATAAACTGGAGATTTTAGAGGTGGGCTTGCAATGGGGGTGGGGGGAGGCACATAACGGGAAGTGGAGGGGAGGGGGGGCCTCATAATTGTGAGGTAATTAGCGTTAACTTAGCAGATCGACTAGTGTATATATTTTTAATCAGAAGGCTTATAACCAGAACTTTAAAGTATTTCCTGGAAAATTGAAAACTGGCTAAATAAGAGTTAATATAACAATACTTCATGTTTACTAGCAAAACCACTGTGATGTTAATATGTCAATCATATTCACAAAAACTGGTCACAAGTTGCATTGTGTCACTAGGCGACTGATCCCTAGTTGGCAGATGAATTACAATGGCTTAGGTCATTGATCACTATCATAATATTGACAGCTCTTGGGTTAAATAACAAACCTAGCCAAAGTTTCCATGACAACAGTAGTCTACTGTACATACCTGCGTATGATGCGGTGATGTCGTAAATTGCATCCCTTTAGGAATGGGTTCCACATCGCCACTATTAGGGTTATCACAACCATATATCTCATCATCATTTGTAGTGTCTGGAGGCTGTGTCTTCATAGTAAATATCTTCCTCAAATGACAATTTGCTGAGATCGTCAAACTGTCTATAGATTTTAATGTGTGACCTTTGAATGTCTCTCCCACAAGCGAGTTCAAATCTAGACAAAGGTTAAGCCATACGCCCAGACGCAACATACTTAGAGGGAATCTAGCATGAAGTGGTGTTACAGTAAGCTCTCTGTTACTTGAAGACATAAAGATTCTGCGTTTATTGTTTCCCATGTCTATAACTCCAAGCTCAAAAGAAAATGAATGTCCCAGAGGCACCATAATTTGAAGAACGAGATATTTCTGTATTAAAAACAAGGACTGCTTCTCGTCTTTTGGGATACTCATTTTTGTAGTTGTAGACTCGCCTTCGAGTACATACACATAGCTTTTTACGTCTTTGTCAAATATTTTACGAATCCCTGTTCCTGTCAGTCGCCATTTTGATACAGGATCTTTGCCTTGGGCGCTGAAAACCTCAACATACGAACCACCCTAGAGGATAAAAAGACGTTAAAATAAACCACCATCACATGACAAAACCTCCCGTGGTCGTGTTGATTGAATAATGATCCGGTAACTAAAGACTTTTGCCAGGAAATATTTTTGCAAATAAACCGAACAAGCACGAAACAACAACTTTAAAAAGGTTTAAAAAGGTTTCAAAACTATAAAAAGACTTCTTCTCACCTGGAATTTGTTCTTAAACATGTTGAGAAATAAGCCCTTGGAGTTAATGGTAGACCATAGGCATAAGAGCAATAAAGAAACAAAGAAAAATGAAGGTTTTGTTGTACACAATGACTACGGCCTGTAATCAGCCGCCATTTTGAACGGTTCGCGCATGACGATTACTACCCAGGGGTCTATAGAAGGGAATATTTTGACCACAACATTTAGTCTCAAGGGAGGGGTAAGTAATCGATTTAAATGCAAAAGCAATCAAAATAACACAGAAAATAAGAATGATTCTTATTAAAAATCAAAAAATCCATAAGGGGAATAATGAAAATGTTAATTTAGGATTTTTTTATCCCACTTTTGTATTTTTCTAAAATATTGCTCTGACCCTCCCCTCCCCAGTAACACTCAGCTGGTTTTTGAGGAAGTCCAAGATGGCGGGTAAGCCAAACTGTTTGATTGTCTGCAGTTCTTCTCCCCAAGGTAAAGACTACATTGCCTTTCCTTTTCTTTCATCGTGCTAAAATTATACATTATCGACTATTGATTGTCCTCGTCTTTTTATTGTTCCTTTTTCGACATTTTATCGTCTTTCTTTTCAGTCTTCTTGAACTTTGTTGTCTCTGACAATTTCTTCGTCGTTCTGTCATTCATTTTTGGTCTAATTTATATGCAATGTCGTTTGTTTTCTTCGTAGGGGTTTCTGCTCAGTCATTCATTCCTGCATTCACTCTAACTCATTCAGTATTCAACGTACAGATAGCCACCCCAAAAGTGAGTTGAAATTTTTAAAACAAAATTCTTGTTTTAACTAATTGTTTCCTGCTCCACAGATGAAGGTGGATGATTCCATCTCTCCCATGACCAGGAGCTGTAACTACACAATATACCTTCCTTAGATCTTCCCCACCCCTTGGAAATTCCTATCCCCCTACATGGGGAGGTATGGATATTTTCTGTAACTAAACAATATATAATACCCTCCTCAGAACCTCCCTGCACCTTGGAAATTCCAACCCTCGCTCTCCCATGGGAGAGGTATGAATATTTTCTGGCCTTCTACAATATTCCAATGCCGATCCATCCCCCAAGGGGTAGGGGCAGTAGTGGTATTTCTGAAACTAACAAACAATAATTGCATTTGTATGAATTATGTTGTATGACTGTCCTGTGCATGTTTGTCTGACAGGGGCTTCAGGTGGAATACGTGCAGACTGATGAGAACAGTAGAAAGTGGCTGAATGAGTTCAGATCCAAGCCTTTCTCAGTTCCAGGAAAACTTGAAAATGTTGATGGTATGTATTAGACACTTAAAACACCCATTGTCAACATCATTTTTGACAAAAATCGACTTCTAAATCCTAATTTGAATATGAAAAAAGAACCATGGATTTGTTAACTTTGACTTGACCTTTATTCAAAAAGGTTTTCGATATTATTTACAATAAACACATAACCTTCAAGTAGCAAAGGCTAATCAAGGCAAGTTATTGTGAATTCATTTTTGTTAACATTAGAGAGAGAGGATAAAGAAAAAAACAAAAGACTTTTTGACTTTTTGGTTTTTAAGTAATTATTTGAGAACATTTTCTATTTGGTGGCATTTTGCTAGTAAATGAAAGCTGGGAGATTTCAACATAATAACCCTGTATTTTAAAATTCCACTGGCCAGCTACCTGTATCAAGTGCTTCCCTAGTAAAACAAGCACTATTATCACCACCATCGGCATCATGTTTTAGTTTTGCAACTCATTCCCTTTTTGCTGCTGATCATGCAGCTTTCAGGTACTCTGCAATTCTCATCCCTAATGCACCTGGTGCCCTGCACGATTTGGTCAATGACGAGGAACTAGCAAAACTATTGAATGTCTTCATACAGGAGAAAAGTATGTAGTGGCATCAACATCATCATCATCATCACCATCCTGCCATCTATCTCTAATCATGTTGGCATCATTACTAGTATGTCATTACCACCATCCTGATGTCATCATCATCACCATCCTGATGTTATCATCATCACTAATCATGACAGCATCATTGCTAGCATGTCATTATTAACACCATCATCATGTTATCATGTCTGCATTACTATCATGTCATCATCCGAATCATCTCAAGTTATCATCACCATCCTGATGTCATCAAAATTGCTATTGTCATCATCATTGCTACCATGATGTCATCATTATCACTACTCGTGTCAGCATCATTGCTAGCATGTAATGATCATCATCATCACCATCATCATGTCATAATCATTAGTCATGTCAGCATCACCATCATAATTATCATCACCATGATGATATCATCACTAGTCATGACAGTATCATTACTAGCATGTCGTCATCACCATATCATTATCATCATCACCATTTCATTATCATCATGTCATCATCACCATCATCATGTCATCACCATCATGTCATTGTCATCTCATCATCACCATCATGTCATTGTCATCTCATCATCACCATCATGTCATCATCATCGTCATCACCATCATGTCATTATCTTCATCTCATCATCATCACCATATCATCATCACCATCATCATCTCATCATCTCATCGTCATCACCATCACCATAGCTACCATTAATACCATATCATGATAACCAGTAAAGTAACCATCATCATTACCACCTTTCTCAAACTCATCCAACTACTACTGTCAATGTCAAAATCGCCATCCTGATTACCTGATTTACGTATTATTTCAGAGCCAATATGTGCCATAGGTCACGGTGTTGGAGGTCTGTTGTCAGCCAAAAAAGATAATGGAAAAAGCTGGAGTTTCAAGAACTACAGCATGACTGCAGTAAGTAATCAAACCTCCTTCTCAATTTTATTCAGAAAAGTGCCACAGAGAATAACTGCATTACTAAAATCAGATATTTTTTTAACAGCCATCAGTCCTAGAGTTGTGTCAAACTCAGGAATTCCCTGGATTACCAATTATATTAGAGGATAGCATTAAGGACAACAGTGGTACATATAGTGGTGAGTAGTTCATACAGGATTCATGCTGCTCTTTGAACTGCTTGAATATTATGAAATGTGTTTTTGTCACTCGCTATTGATCTATATGTTAAGGGTATGCTACATCGAGTATATAAGCAGACTAAGAAATCTGCCTCAGTTGGGTTCTCGCGGGACTCGAACCACTGACCTCTCGTTTGCTAGACGAGATCTTGACCGCTCGGCCACTGAGGCATTATGGGAGAAGGTCGTGTTAGATCTATATTTTAATCAAATCATCGCTTGATCTTTTTGGATATTCTTTGAAGACCCATTCCAGCTGAGCGGTGAATTTCGTATCAGCCAATCACAGCACATTTAGCTGTTTTGCCGCGGGCCCTCATTTCCAGGCTGCTGTAACCTAGCTTTTACATATTTTTCTGTTTTCTTTTGACTGAGATAGAATATAATGTGACTACAAGAAGCAGAAATATGGAAAGAAAGAATAAAAACAATTTCACTTTACTGCCACGTTTGCTTCATTCTTTCGAGCTCCAACAATGCTTAGGACTGGTCATTTCGTCCACTTGTGTATTTTGCATGCCGCGTTTACCACTTCGCTGGTAGCTGGTATACACAAAATCGAAATATCATGACCAATTTGAATAGCTATAATCGTTCTGGACTGACTTAATAGCTTTGTGTTTACGTGGAAGCTGGCCCCTTCCTTTGACCACTCCACCTTGTTTTGGGTTACCTATGCTCACATCATAAGTGAGAAGTCAGCCACACCTCACGCTTTTTTTTACCTATCAATCAAGGCAAAAGTTTGATCCCCGGTAATCTCAGTAATTTATCGGTGGATATATTTATTTATATTTACCTTTCAGCAAGTGAACCAAACTGTGTCCATGTGGTAATTGACAGACATCTAATTACTGGACAAAACGACCAATCAACTCTCCCTGCTGTACAAAATCTTATCCTTTATGCCAGGTAAATACATCTTCAGTGCAAGCACACCCTTACTGAGACTCGGCTAGAGCAGCACATTGTGGTCTAGCTTGGGCACAAAAAACGTTTTCTTCAGCATGCCTTATATGGTGTTCTTTGTACCCAATCTAGACCAGAATGCACTATCTAGGCCAGATTTCATTCCCACAACCCTTTACACTGAAAAATGTGTCATTGTTTTTTTTTTCTTTTCAGGCAAGGAAAAACCACAAAAAGCTGATAAAAGTATTAAATGAATAGAAAGATTAGCATCATTAGTTTATAACAAAATTTTATTTTTTCCAAACATTAAGTTAGTAGGTTGTCAGTAGGTTGTCAGTAGGGTGTTGGTAGGTTGTCAGTAGGGTGGTGTTGGGTTGTCAGTAGGGTTTTGGTAGGTTGTCAGTACCAACACCCTACTGACAACCTACCAACACCCTAGGTTGTCAGTAGGGTTTAAGTAAAATGTTGGTAGGGTATCAGGTTGTTGGTACTGTAGGTTACTTAGTCTTCACTTAAACCAAAATAAAACTAGGATCATTTACCAATCCTGAATTATTTCCATGCAAACTATAGCTTAGAGCCCATTTCCATGATACTGGAGTGAGTTCACTCCAGAATGAGAATGAAATTTCATACCGCGTTTACATGAGAAAAATCCACATGACGAGTTCAAGCTACGATCGCATTGAAATGTCTGATAGGCATGCGTTATTCATTTCATTCTCCCTGAAGCAGTTTCATTCTGGAATGAGTGTTCGTTCCATGTTTACATAATACAGGTATGAAATATCGTTCCGGAATGAGTGTTTCGTTCTGGAATGAATCCAGGGATGACTCATTCCAGAATGACTCGTTCTGCAATGAAATATAGCTCCGGTATCATGTAAACAAATACAAAGAAATATATGGCAAGCGGGATGAACTCGTTCCGGAATGAAAGTCATTCCGGTATCATGTAAATGGCCCTTTACATTTCCCCAAATATACCTCTTAAATTATAATTATTATTATCATTAATATGTAATACTAACCATGAACATTGAAATGTACAAAAATTATGATTTTCCTCATTTGTGTTTTGCATTATTAATAAATGTAGATGTTTTCAAAATCACTTGTCATTAGTTATAACAGTGCTCAGCTACTGCATTCCACTTATATGTCAAAAAATGTTATTTTTTTCCATCTCAGACCACACTTCATTACCTTGAGTATAGTTTCTTTGTTTAATACTTGAAAAGGTACACCAAATATAAACGTGACTTAAACAAAGAATCTTATTCTTCAGGCTGGTTTTCACTTGTGTCAAATCAGAAGCAGAAATTGAAAGTTGAACCAGTCATAAGCGCAATGAAAATAGAATAAATGGGAATCAACAAAGGAATCCATAGACCGACTCTTCTTCCACTGGATTCAAATTCAAATTTTGTAATTGATTTTTGCAGAGGGGGGAAATTAGCCCTCAAATCACAGGAGAGAACTCGGAGAACTCACAGCAATCAACTCGACTCACATGGTCGCATAAGTGAGAATGGAACGCTCTGACTGCTTCTCCACCTGAACTTCCCTTATAGCTTCAGCACTAGCTAATTAAGCAAAAGCAATCCTTTCGAGTCAGAATCCAACACACTAGTGACTCCTAAGTCAGAATCCAACACACTAGTGACTGTTTTCACTTTTCATAAGCTGCTTTTGGCTCCTACTCCAACACTAGTGAAAACAGGCCTTTAAGGGAACGGCATGAGGTCTGAAATTTAGGGTCGAATACATAATAACACAGAGATTCTTTTCAAATCTCATATAACATGACAGGTAGTGGTGATAATGAAAAACTATTATTATCTTGTCGATGAATGTGATACAAAATATGATTATTGTGAATTTAACAATTAAAGTCTGATATTTCTGGAACTACGCAGTTTAAACCCGAGTCACTCACAGGGGAAATCCAGCATTTTGAAATTGAATTGGGTATAAATTATGATTGATTGTCCTTTCAGATGGTGAATTTATTGTCAGTGAAAACCCTCAAAATTCACAGAAAAGTATCAAAACTCCAACCAGTTTCAATCTACAAAACCAGATTCTTTAGATTAAGAAAGAGTGTGCATAAATTCTTTTTGGAATAATCTTAACGTGCATTTTAACTTGAAAAGTAGTGTCTTAATTAAGCTGACTATCACAAGTGTGTTGTGCTCCCCCCCCCCCCCACTTGATGCAAGTGGAATTTAAAGTAAAAGAGAAAACACATAATTTTTCTTTGATCGGCCGTCAAATTGAGCTTGTACTTTTTCATTGCATGTGCAGGCCTGTTAATGCCTAGCCTGCATGAAGCCGAACTAAGAAACGTTCCGCTGCATGCAGCTGGCTAATGCCAGGACTTCAGAAAGAGGGTTCATAATTTTCTCATCTTTATCATTGAAGTAACATTTGAAAAAAGTGTTTATTCACACCTTTGAATCCATCCCTGGCAAACGGACACTTTATGTAAGGTTTCACTAATAATAAGTGTTACAACTTTTTTAGTGAAATCGATTTTTCAGCCAAAACCCTTACACTAAAAAAATTTTTTTAAAGGAATTTATTTCAAAATGATTGATAATCTCAAGCACAACAAACTTGTGATTATTAGACCTAGTAAACAACCCTGTACAATTTTTTAAATTTAACAAATATTAATTTCATTATAATTATTACAAAGTGGGGAGTCTTGACCCTCTTTGAGTTAAGCCTTCAAACCTCTTAAAAGTGTAGTTTAGAAACACCCAGTCCTTGTTATTGGTATCCTTGTCCTTTGAATTGCTAAGCCAATCTATAAAATATTTTTAAAATATTAGTATGATACACATGTATAGGGGTGAGGGGTCAAATTGGCAATGAAAAGAAAGAGTATAGCTACACTTACTCTGATGAAGGACTAATGTCTGAAACGTCTGTTTCAATTTATTGTTATTCAATTTATCATTTTATTATTTTATTCAGAAACACCGACACAGTCCACTCTAGTACTCTACTAGTTATCACCACTCGTATAGCTACATAGTTTGACGGACCAAAAAAACAGCTTCTATCTCGTAAGGGGCTCATACTTATCCTTTAAGGGGTTCGATAAAGTCAAGATGATCTAGAATTTCTAGGGATTTCATAATTGTCAGTTCTTGTCTGATAGACCTCCCCTCCCCTCCCCTCCCCCTCATTGGATTAGTTAATGTTGCCAACACAACTACTTACATGATTCAAATTCAGATTCTGGGAACTCGTCAAAATTTGAAGTGTCATCTATAGATTTGACTTGTATTGGTATGGGGGCTGGTCTGTCCCTGGTAAACACAACATCAATAGTGTCAAAGGTTACGTTACCTGGGCTGCCTGTGGTAGACCCATCGTAAAGTAGATTCAAAAGGTAAATTTAATTTTTTACTTTGATAATGCCAGGGAGTGATTGCTCGATTCTCCAGAGCAAGGGGCAGCATGTGTTACACTTTAGCCCCCCCCCCCCCCCCTTCAGACTATCAGTGCTCTCTACAGGAAATTTGTGAGAGATTTCACAAACTGGAAAAGTTGTACAATTATGGTATCCACAGATAAACTACAGTTATTCAGAGATATTTGCAGACATTTATATGCATAATTTATATGTCCTTGATCATAAATTAGACTTGTGACATTAAGTGATTGATGGATGTGGGTGGGGCTACCTGTTTAAGTTCCAAGTTCTTCCTGAGTTTACTGTCATATTCAGGTTTTCTACTTTCGTATTGACCAAAACTGGTTATTGTATTCRTAAAAAAACAGTATGCAAGATGACATGATAATTGAAACAGGAAATTAACTCAGCGCAATAATTTATCTAATTTTTGTCATAAACAGGGTCTACAAATTTGAGTTTTTTTTGTCATAAACAGAGTACCCCTTTCAGAATCGCAGCGGAACACCCCTACCCAAATTCTGGTAGAGTACCCCCCCCCCCCTCCCGGGTGGCTAACTCACAGATTGAACCCTGAAACAACTTCCAGGCTGACCTAAGTCAGGGCATGGCTAAATCACAGATCAAATTGGAATTTCGGATCTTAAATTTTGAGTAGGGAGGAAAACCTGAGAACCTGGAGAAAAATCCTCAAATTGTGATGCATCATTGACATATTTAAAATATGTGCTAACCTACCTCAAGTTCACCCAGTCGATTCCCTTGAAGAACGGATGCGCTTTGATTTCATCTATATTGTTTAGTCTTTGCTCTTCATCGCAGCATAACCTAGATGTGAGTGCTATAAGTCAGTAATGTATTTCTCCAAGTCATACAAAAAAATGTTCTTAAATAACTAACAGACAATTTACACAAGCCGGGTTTTCTAACAAAAAGAGTGATGTAACCATATCCATTCAACCACTTATTTTCTCCAAAGAAAATTCATGTTTTCCCATTTCTTCCATTTAACTTTTTTCATATTCTTTTCACTCTTTTCAAAAATTCTTTTAAATTTATGCCAATATATATATAGTTTTATATTCTCAATCACTCATTCAACTCATTTTCCTCTTCTTTCTTTCATTTCCCATTTTCCAGCATTTCTCCTACATATTTCACAGTAATCCATGTGTCCAACTACGCATTATTGCAATCACTACCTTTGAATAAAGTCCTGTGCATGTTTTGAGATGGGCATTTCTGGAGGAAAAATGAGTGTTTCTCTCCAATTTATAATTTTTTTGTATGTCTCTGAAATGAAATAAAAATAAAACTTGTTAGTACAAGCCATTAACAAAATCTTCTACTTCACTGAACTTGACCAACTTCACCACACTTCCTTCACCAAAGAAGAGAGAACCACAGTAGATCCTTTTATATGAACATTCATTGTCAAGGGGACAACGAAATAAGAGATCTTCTTCTCGAAACAAGGTTTCACAATTATGGTTCACACAACCCACGACTTATTTAAATGTAGAATCAATCATTTTCAAAACAGTTTTATTCCAAAGTGTATCAGTATTAGGGACGAATAATTATGAATAGACTCTAATATTAGAATATTTATAGTACAGTTCAATAGATTATTATTTTTCTTCATAATTGTAACATTATGTTTTATCCAAATCTGTTTTAAGATTTATCAAACTCATTAATAATTCAAGAGGAAAACACAACAGAAATCATGATCGTGAAGAGTGATTGTGAATCTGATACAGAATCTTGTTCATTTGCATAAACTTTAACTTGGATTTTCTTGGCCAGATTCACTTTAATTTTGAAAATTTTAGTGAAACACAAAGGAACTAACCTAGACATTTGAAAGTAATATACAGTATTCGTGTCCAAGTTGTATCCGATATACAAACTCTATGCTACGCTTCGAGTTTGTATATCTGATACAACACGGCCACTCATACTGTATATATTACTTGCAAGTCTTGAGACATAATTAATATTATATTATTATCATTTTTCTTGCTTTATGGCAACCTACAATATTATAATGTTTGCATACTGTACCTTGTGGACTTTCTGAACAAAATGGAGGATAACCTGAAAGAAAGGACAATAATTATAAATTAAATGTGAAAAATTAACAAGCTTGTCCTTTGGGTAAAAACCTTCAAAAAAATTTTAATGCTAGCTATCGATCCCTCAGAAATAACCTCTGGGCTAACCTAAGTCACAGCATGGCTAACTCACAGATCAAACCCTGGAACAGCCTTTGGGCTGATCTAAGTCGGACATGGCTTACTCACAGATAGAACCCTGAAACAACCCCTGGGCTGATCTAAGTCAAGCCTGGCTAACTCACAAATCAAACCCTGAAACAACCCCTGGGCTGATCTAAGTCAGGGCATGGCTAACTCACAGATCAAGCCCTGAAACAACCTCTAGGCTGATCTAAGTCAGGGCATGGCTAACTCACAGATAGTTGATTGAACCCTGGAACAATCTCTAGGCTTATCAAATGGAGAGAACCAACAAACTCTACTCTGGTGAATAATGTGTTGTGAGTGAAATCTAGATTTGACTTACCTATTAACATCTCATACATGATGACTCCTAACGACCAGAAATCACAACTTTTCGTGTAGCCAGTCTGAACAAAAACTTCTGGCGCAATGTAATCTGGAGTGCCTACAGTTGAGTAAGCCTTGGATAAAAGTTACATGCATGTATATTAATCAATTAAACTAATCGGTGGTTTGATTAACTTTTAAGGTGATATGATAATAATGCTGACTTACAAGTTGTCGTCTATTTCTCTTCCATGTCGCAGCACGTCTCTTTGAATCTAATGGGTCTCCATTAGCTGGAAAAAGAAAGATTCTTGCATTAATGAAATATTAAATGATCTATTATGATTATTAAGAATGATTCAAATGATAATATGGTGCTGCTGTCAATGATGATGATGAATGTGACGAAGTGTGATGATGAAGTCAGATGATAATGGTGGTGATGATGATGGTGATGGTAATGATAACGATGATGATTGTAATGATGATGGTGACTGTGATGAAGTATGATGATGAGGTCAGATCTTGTGATGATGATGATAATGGTTGTGATGATGATGCATGGTGATGGTAATGATGATGCTGACTGTGCTGATGATGACGGACGGTGATAATAATGATGAAGATGAATGATGGTGGTAATGAATGACTGCAATGGTGATGTAGATGATTATGATAGTGGTTATGATGACCATAATCAACTATCACATACCATAAAATAAATAAAATATATATGCTTACCAAAATCTTTAATATCAGATGGACTAATTTCTCGATAGAATTCTGTTCTGTGAGCCTTTTTCAGGCCTGTACATAAACCAAAGTCAGCCAGCTTGATGTGACCCTACCGCAAAAACAATAACCATCAAAATAATATACTTACAACATGATGACTAGCCTGTTACCTTTTGTACAAGTTAATCATTTTAGGCCCCGTTGTACAAAGGTTAATCAGTAGCAGATCCAGGGGTGGTAATATAGGTGACTAGTCACCCCCCCCCCCCCTTTTGCTCAAATTTCTCAGTATATCGTTAGTAACAGTCACCCTCTTTTCCTCGAATTCTTGGTAAAACCTTTGTAATAGTCACCCCCCTTCTAAAATTCCTGGGGCCGCCCCTGGGCCTGGTTGTACCAAGCCTGGATAGTGCTATCCGGAGGATAAATCCTTATCCATTGAACGTAAAGTTGAAGCTGTTATCCAATAAATTTATCCACTGAATGAGATTTATTCCTCGGATAGCGCTATCCAGCCTTCGTGCAACCAGGCTCTGGTTGATATATAGCGCTATCATACTGATAAATCTAATCCACTGGATAAATTTATTGGATAATCAGCATCACTTTATCCACTAGATAAGGATTTAATCATCAGATAGCTCTATCCACTATTCGTACAACTGAACCCTGTCAGTTTTAGGGTTTTATCGATGTAGACAGGGTTGGGTCTGTTTACTCTCAAAACTACAAGGTTTGATTTCCCAAATCAAGGGTGGTATCTCCCCGCGGGGGGGGGGGGGGGGGGGGGGGGGGGGGGGGGGGGTACTCCCATATGTGAACTATACGGGGAATATCCGCTGAACAGGGTATGGTTTTTCGAGCTTCTTGTCATAAACAGGGTGCGCAATTTTACTCAAGTTCCAAGTTCTTCCTGAGCTTCCTGTCATTATCAGGGTTTCTACTTTCGTATTGACCGAAACTGGTAAAAAAACGATACGCGAGATGACATGATAATTGAAACAGGAACTCAGTACGATAAATTATATCTTTTGTCATAAACAGGGTCTACAAATTTGAGTTTTTTTGTCATAAACATGGTACCCCTTTCAGAGTCCCAGCGGAACACCCCTACCCAAATTCTGGCAGAGTACCCCCCGGGGGTATCTCGTGTTCATTTCTCAGATTTTGCATGGCATGTGAGTACTAGAGTTTTTTAGGTATCTTTCTTGATTTGAGGGTTTTTCTCAAGGTTCTCTGGTTTTCCTCCATGAACTTTACTGTGGTTTTCGATGTTCTGCGAACTCTGACATTTTAACGACTTTTTGCAGCGTAGGATCCAGGGGAGGCGTGCAGGGCGTGCGCACCCTCCCTGGTTACACTTTGTGCTCCTACTTCGAGGATAACTTATTTTGTTTTTTTTCCTTTGATTCTAAGGGGTGCACCCCTCCCTAGGTTAACATTGTGTGCAGCACCCCTCCCTGAACAAAATCCTGGATCGGCCCCTGTATTGTGAAATTTGTTTTTGTCAATCAAAACTAACCACTCGGTTCCTCTTATATTCTTGGCTGCGGCAGCCAAAATAAAATTTCAGCATCAGCTGGCAACTAACGAGTTTGCAAAATATCAAAAACCACAGGAAACATGTTAATTATATTGTGCCACAAAACGTCAAGATGGCTATACTTACTTTACTATCCAGCAGTAAATTGTCTGGTTTAATATCTCTGTGAATAAATTGTAGTTGGTGAATGGAATCAATTGCATTCAATGCCTCGGCTATGTAGAACCGTGTCTCATCTTCTGTGAATGTGTCCCGTTTCATCAACAATGTCATCAGATCACCTGGGAAATATATTGAAATTATATGATGACTTTCTGGTTGATTTGCCTGAAGTCCGAATGTTCAGAAACATTGAAGTGGATTTACAAGACATGTTGTTTTTGAAGAATTCATTCATATTCAAAATATGCAGTTATCCATCTAGCCATTGATCAATCCATCCAACTGTTCATTCATTCATCCATCCGACACTTTCAGGTAATCCATCCATCCACCCACCCACCCATCCATCCATCCTTCCATCCATCCATCCATAAACCCACCCATCCATCCATCCATCCATTAGTCTCCCCCACAGCCGCTTTCAGTGTCATCACACAACGCTTTCTCCCTTGAGTAGTGGCTGCTTACCCGAGAACAACATTCCTTTCCTATTGTTTTTGTTCAACCAATCAGATAAGTGTCATTGTGTTTCAAGAACCAATCAAAACATTTCGAATTTGACAACTTGTAAACATTCGCGAGAGAAATAATTCTAAGACACATTGAGTGGAAGTTGGAAAAAATCTTTGGGAAATTAAAATTGAATTCGTTCTTGTTAAATGTTTAATGCCTTCCCCGGCCCCCCCAAAAAATTATTGGAAACGTAACTAAGTGTTTTCTTTGTTCATAAAGAAAGAAAAGATTTATATTTTTATAAGTTTAGCTATCGACATTGTTTTAACGGCCGATAGTGAATTCGAATTAGTACTTGCGATCGAGCTCGTACCAAAATTTTAAAAGCAAAAAGAAACTGGAAAACTTTTTAAAAAAGCATAATTTGGACTCATGGAAGTTAAACGAGACGACTCAAGATTTAAGAGATTGAATTTGAATATAAAGTCTGACAGTATTTTTAATAAACGAAGAAGATGAGCCGCGCAGATCACTTATTTCAAACAACGAATGCAGTGTAAAGCTAAAGGAAATCGCGAAAAGGCTAGATAACTTTTAAAGAAACCCTTTTAAATCTGACACTGTCACACCGTTGACTTCCACGGGTATTCATTGTAAACTTCTGGGTAACGCTCACAGTTCTGGTATTTACTTCACGTATACTGCGAGGAATAGCTCAATTTGATACTGTTAGAAAAGTTGTTTTGTTTTGTTCACACTGTTAGAAAAGTTGCGAAAAGTGAACACAAATCGTTAGCTAAATCGTTATCTTATGTCCAACCTTCTAACGTCGCATTAGCAGTTTATATGAAATGTCAAGAACTTCGAACTCCTGTTATTCAAAAAGTCCTCGAGCTTGTCTCGAAAGAAATTACTGGGCTATGCTTAAGAGCGCCAATATTTTATTCCTTTGAGCGATTTCCCATATCCAGTAGGCAGATCTTCAAAGAAATCTTGTTTTTCTTGTAAAATCTTTCTTATAGCATCTTCTCGAATACTTCCTCTAACGACGCATTGTTTTCCATATGGCGCGAATGGTTCCTGGTTTTCGAGAACTAAGCTGTGATTGGTTAATTCATAGGAAAGGAATGTTGTTCTCAGGTAAGCAGCCGCTACTCAGGGGAGAAAGCGTTGCGTGACGACACTGAAAGCGGCTGTGGGGGAGACTACCCATCCATACATCCATTCATCCATACATCCACCCACCCACCCATCCATCCATCCATCCCACCCATCCATCCATCTATCCCACCCATCCATCCATCCATCCATCCATCATTTAGTTACCCACCCACCCATCAATTTTTTTTCTCCATATATTTCCATTCTACATAACATGATGAACTCACCTCCAGGTAAAAATTCCATGACTAAATAAAGTAACTGACTATCCTGGAAGGAGTAATACATCTTAACCACCCATTGATTCTCAGCCTCCGCAAGAAAATCTCTCTCTGCTCTGGTATGTGCAACCTAATCAACACAAAAAATACAACTGTAGTTTGAAGCAACAAGAATGTATACATCCATGGAGTGGGGTCCGAGGGTACATGAGGGCACACATATGGACATACATATGTATATGGCTTGTAACTTCAAAGAGGTGGGGAGCTCGGTAGGAGGAGGGCACTTCCCACATGGAATGGGCTTGGAATAGACCCCTCGCAGCACATCGGATTGCAGCTCAATTTGGAGGACATAACAATACTTTTCAGGTTTCTCAGGAGATTGAAATCTTTTTGTTTTGTCTTCCAATATTTATCTACTTTGACGTCACATATGCAAGGGGTCTATTTAAGAGTATTTGGGAGGGTCTGAGGACTCATAGATCTATACTTCCCCCCATTGAGGGGAATTGGAATTTCCAAGGTGAAGAGGGTCAGATTAGGGTATGTTATGAATAATCCTATCATTTTATTTGAAAATACCTGTTCTTTTTCTAGAACATCAGCTTTTCTTAGCATCTTCATGGCATAAACATGACCAGTGTCCTTCTTCTGAACCAACCGTACCTTGAAAGCATTGAAAAAATTATACTCAGTAAGGATGGCAAAAACTATCGAAGAAGAGACTTCAGCGTGCAATATGCTTATATCCTGCACTGATCTAAGGCAAAATGGTTAAGATTAAATAAGCCTGAAGCGAGATGACGTTTTACCCCTGTCTCTAGACCATAATCCTTTTCACACTGCTTTTGTTCTTTAATTATGACTATTCTTCCTGTATTCTCTAAGGAATCAAAAATTTTGATATGAAAGAATTTTAAAAACTATTATGGTATAGAGTCAGGGGTCAAATGTCATCTCGCTTCAGGCTTATTGGAACAAATTAACACGCTATGTTCTTTCTAGTCCTATTCCAGCTTTTATGACTCTGATTTAGTAATCCAACCCCCTTACCCCAATGTAAGATAGACCGATGATAGTTTAACTTACTTCTCCAAAGGCACCTCGTCCAATAATCTTTAAAGATTCAAAGTCTTCTTTTCCTATTCTTGACCTCTTCAACCTTAGGAACTCTGTCTCTTTTTGTGCATGTTTGTTCCTCTTTTCTTCTTTCTGAACTCAGAACAGTTGAAATCAATAAAGGTCATATATTTTAAAAGTACAGTACAAGATTTCACCTCATATGTAAAAATAGTAGATAGATCAGATCATGCTTTCACAGGGTGAAATAATAATAATATCATCATAAACAACAATAAATAATAATAGTATTAATATTTAGTGGTAGTAGTAATAATAAAAATTATAATGATGATGATGATGGTGAYGGTGAAAATAATATATGATCTATATATAGAGGTTTTGCACCATCAAATGACGGCAGCCATGTTGGATGTCAGGAACAACACAATTGTTTTACATGAGAAATAATTCAATTTCCGAGAGCAAAGGGATTTTATTGTTCTGCCACCCAACCACAGGCAGTCCAAGTGTATTATGGGTGCCTGCACATGATTGTGCAAAGCTTCTATTGAGGGATAAGATCCCTAATAATTCAATACTCTAAATCTTGATAAATATACTTCAAAATCAATATAAAGTTGCTACTGAATTTTGTTGCACAAACTGATTGGACTTCCTAGCAAAGGGAGTATTAGATATCGCACAGAGTCATTGACAAGACGCCTAATTGTTTTGCTAATTACCATATAGTTAGAAAAGTAGGTGCATGCTGATTGGTCGAAAAGTGTGCTATATTATTGAACGGAGCAGACACCATCCTTGAGTGTGAAGTGTTTTTATATCCTGCAACCGTCTTTCTTTTTGCGTAAATAAATTCAATGCTGGAATAATATTAGTATAAACTATATAATAAAACTTGGGCGAAAAACTTTCTAATAATATAAGTTTGAATCATTTCATAAGTTTCATAGTTAAGCTAGAGATCACTTAAATTATAAATCGATAATCTGCTTTATGGAAGACAGAAAAATTAACTGTCCAGAACGATCCACTGACTAAACTCATTTTATTTTATTTCAAGATCATATGATTGTATTATGATTGTAAGTTATACATATTTTTTTGCTGATTTACAAGTTTGTTTATAAACGAAGGTTCCATAAAATAAACAGACATCAAAGTTTGATCACAAACAATGCATACTGAAAACGATAGACAAATAACAACAAGAGATACTAATAATAATTTGAACATCTTTAATGTTCATGTTTTGAAATCTAATCACGCAAACAGACATTTTTTAAACATGTTAAAAATGAAGTCACGCACAAGAAAAAATGTAGATTACAGAATTTCAAAAAGATTTTCCCCACAAAATAAACATAGAAAACCTTGTGTAAAAGTTCAAAATACATATTTTGCTATCAAGATTTTGAGTTAGAACGTTAAATCTTCAAGTTATTGACATGTATTAAAATGAATGAACTCCGACAAACTTATCATGTCTCAAATCTGAAATTTTCGACAGAAAAAAATTAAAACAAACAGCCGGAGAAATCCAATCTTGACAGCAAGTTGTTGAGTGAATAAAAGTCTTCAGACTCGAGTGCTATAACTGGCACTCACCGCCTTCTTTGCTTTTAAAGTTTTTAACTGATAACATTTGTTTTATAAATTGTTGAATAAATTAATACTGAAGATCTCGCGAGAAACTGCAGTCTCACTGAATGAATTTTGAATTACGGTTGCTGTTATTTCTGCTTTTATTTCCCGTTTTACAGTTGTACAAATATGATTTTCCATTGACAGGATAATAGTACATTATTTTCTCACCTCTTCTTCAGTTAAGGATTGACTTTCCATCAATTCTTCGAGCTTTTTTCGCCTAAGATCAAGAGAAGAAGTGGAAGTAGATTACATAAACTGCAACGAGAGTCGGGCTTAGTTGGAGAAGTAGGTATTTGACAACGTAAAAGTTCATTATATCTCAAACGGCAGGAGCTGTTCCAATGCCACAGTCTTCCCCAACCTTTGAACCTCCTAAGTAAACTAAAACATCGTATTTGAAAGATTTTAGCAGCAGAAATCTGACCCACCTAGTTATTCGTTCGTGATGCTGGGAAACTAGACTAGCATAATAACTTTCCAAAGTGGCCTTAGCTTTGGCGACTTTCTCGAACGTGTGGTTCGAGTACGAGCAAGGAGTACCATTGGACCCCGATGCTGTGGCAGTCCCAGCCATTATAGAAAGAAATCGAAGGAAAAACCGCTAAGATTTGGCCCCAAAATGATGGAATTATTCCCCTTCTTCGTCCAACATGTTTCCTGCAAACATTTCTTCTTGGATATAAGAACACGGACCAAGAGCCTGGTTAATATTCCTGTAATACAAGGATTTTGATTGGATGATGATGATATCAACATTGTTGTTAGATGAAATATAACGAGTAATATGATTGGTTGCTAGAGGAGATGGTTCGACGCCATTTAAAGTTTCTGGAAAATTGTTTTCAATGAAAAAACGGCAAATTATTGCTTTTTCTTAATCGTTGATTAGTTATTTTAGATCAAAGTTTTCAACCAAATAAAGCGATTTATTAAACTGCTCAAAATGCGATAAATATCTCCAATCTATAGACGCTAAAAATATATGTAATCTAATATCTCAATTGATGAGAGTATTGGATGTTGAAAATGAAAAAATACTAAATTTTGCATTTTCGTATTTTTAATAAAAGCTGTCATCTCCAATCGAGCCCGTTGTCATGACATCCGTTTCTATGACGTCACGGAAGTTCACGCCAAGAACCCTTGTATGACGTCATAATGGCTAATTTCACTTCCAAAATAATTTGACAAATTGACTCAAAATGAATTGAAATGAATAGAAATGTTATCAACATTGTGGTACCACAATACCATCAAATGCGAGCCGTGAAAAGGCTATTTACAAGAATGATGTCCAAGTTATCGGACGACGCTCGCATTTTGAACGAGAGGGGGTACCATTTATTGAGCGACTCAAATCTGGGAGAAGGAACATATGCTAAAGTGAAGTGCGCTTACTCCAACGACACTAAGCAACACGTTGCTGTCAAAATTATTGATAGGAAACGAGCTCCAAAAGATTTTATTAATAAGTTTCTGCCTCGGGAGATGGTCGTTATTCAGACCTTGCGTCACAAAAATATTATTGAAGTTCTGCAAGTTTTTGAGGTAGAATAATGATAACATAAGCCTATTAGAATTTTGCCGTTTCAGTACATACGTATTTATCCTAATTTCTTTTCTTTTTACTTTCTTGTTTTTTCTATTTCTTTCTCTTTTTTTTTTTTTTCTTTTTTTTTTTTTTCTTCTTCTTTTTTTCTTTTGCAGGTTGGAGAAAAAGTATATGTTGTCATGGAGCTTGCAGAAAAGGGAGACTTATTAGAATACATAAAGAAAAATGGCTGTGTTAGAGAGTGGAAAGCCAAAAAGCTCTTCAAACAACTCCTAGAAGCAGTAAAGTTTTGCCATAAACAAGGCGTCGTTCATCGAGATTTGAAATGCGAAAATGTTTTACTCGATAAATGTCATAATGTTAAACTGACAGATTTTGGATTTTCTAAGTTCAATCCTCAAAATGAACTCTGTAAGACGTTTTGTGGGTCAGCCGCTTACGCTGCGCTGGAGATACTTCAAGGTATGCTTCCCTTTCCGTCTGTTTTATGGGAATCGCTTGGGTTACCTGTGGAAAATCAAAGCACAGGTAGCCCAGACTATGAAGCACTACCTTGGAATGCATGCAGCTCAATTTGGAGTGCATAACAATTCTCAGAAGATTGAAATTCTTTTGTATTTGCTTTCAAATTGGGCTCATTTGGCGTCACATACAAATGGTTAATAAGCAAGCACAGAGCATCCATTTACAAAGATGGGCTAGTTAACAGATCCTGCTTCAAATACTGACACTCCAACTCATCTCCTCCACCAGCCTGCTGCAGACTGAAAATAGACCTTTCATAAATTGGCTTGACTGACCAGATAGTCTAACAATGTATCCAAGCTTTTGCATGTTCATATATAAAAATTACTGTATTTTATCAAGTGCAACTTAAACTTGATATTTGTCATGAGTCGAGCAATATAATAATGTGGGAATTTTCTATTTTCCTGTATTGGGGTTCACCCCCAACATATCCCTTCCTTCGGCTTCCCCCAATATGCTTGCTCATAACATTTATGGGAACAGAGTCACGGGGCACACTAGGTCCCAAGACATGTCTTCAACACTAACTAYATAATAATACTCTGCAAAACAGGTATAGAGTACAATGGAGAGAAAGCAGACATCTGGAGTTTAGGTGTCATTCTATACACCATGGTAACAGGACGAATGCCTTTTGATGACACAAACATGAGCACCCTTAAAAAACAAATAAAAAATGGAGTCGAGTTTATAAAACCAAAGCAGTACATCTCTGATGAATGTAAAGACCTCATTCAGAAAATGATGGCAACAGACCATCAGTTTAGAATTAGCATACCTGAAATAGAGAGTCATAAATGGGTTGCAGGAGCATCTACACCAGGATCAAGAATGCAGTCTAGCAAATCCAGGATTCAATCTAGTCAATCAAGTAGTGATTAATCATAAACTCAGTTCTTCATCAGTGCTGTGAAAGGTTCAAGGAATAGAGCAGGCATTTGGACATATGAAAAGCATTCTTAGTTTAAGGAGTATTATGAAATCATTTATATCTATACTGCATAAAGTTTTAAAATGTATCACAAATAAAGAAGTTAAGACACAAAGCAACCGTAACTGTGACTATTTAGGCGGGAAACTAAATTGCTGACTTACTTTTACTCCGACGAAGGACTAGCGTCCGAAACGTCAGTAAGTTTTTTCATCTTTTCACGGTGTATAATTTACCTTTTCATCATTACTCTTTCATTAGAAACACCAACGCAGCTCACACTAGTTTTTAGCTAGTTATATCTTTTTGCTGACTTAAAGATCTATCGCTAATCTTTCCCGCCAAAAAATTGCCACAAAGTTAGACCTGTGAAACGTCCCTCGTTCGTTGCAAACGCTCACAATATATTCCGAGCCCATATGGCACACAAGATGGAAAAAAGTGCCATCTTTTACATACGACGATAGAGTGGTATATGAACATGGCTATTGTTTTAGTCAAGCAAATTCGACCAAGCACACCAACATTACAGGACCCGCGGGCACAGTATAAATTCGGGTGAAACTGCACTTTGTGAAGGTAAGCGCCTGACAAATATAAATTCAAATTACTCACATAAAAAGTTTAATCTAAACTGCCGCAGTGGAATTTATTAAAACTATAAGAAATGAGACACTCTTCTGATTATAGTAAGGAAACTCGCGTATCCTAATAGTGTTTGGCAAAATGGCGCCTTTTTCAAAGCATTTAAAGAAAGCGAAAGACATTGCATAAGACCATGATCTTTGTTATTATGTGGTGGCTCCTAAAAGAGCCGTTGTTTTGTGTTGTAAACAGTTTGGAACTGTTTACTTGCTGCTGGTGTACTTGGTGACAGCCTTGGTGCCTTCACTGACTGCGTGCTTGGCCAGCTCACCAGGGAGAAGAAGACGAACAGCCGTCTGGATTTCCCGAGATGTGATGGTGGATTTCTTGTTGTAGTGAGCGAGGCGGGAAGCTTCACCAGCGATGCGTTCGAAGACATCGTTGACAAAGGAGTTCATGATGCTCATGGCCTTGCTGGAGATACCAGTGTCAGGATGGACCTGCTTCATGACTTTGTAGATGTAGATGGCATAGGATTCCTTTCTCTTAGATCTTCTCTTCTTCTTGTCACCAAGAGCGGCCTTCTTGCCGGCTTTCTTTTCACCTTTCTTTCCAACAACAGGTTTTGGAGGCATATTTCTCGAATTTGTCGAATTCAGTTATGAATATGATGTTAACTTCGGTGTATATCGTATTTATATCATTATGAGCATGGATTACTTAGTATGCGGATCGAAATGATCTTTCTGTGATTGGTTGAATTTAGGTTATTCATAAACATACTGTTAAGACAATCAGTACAGCGAGCCTCTTAGAAAACATATGTTATAAGTTACTATCAAATGTCATATGGAAATTTGATCGGGCATAGAAATAGTCTTTTGCTATTGGTGGATCCAGATCCTTATTGTGTAGAGATCGAAGTATAAACTTTTGGCGCTTGCAAAGAGTTAGTGATTTGATTCTCGTAGATCAAGCGAACATTTCAATCAATTATATCCAAAATGTCTGGTCGTGGTAAAGGTAAAGCAAAGGGCACCAAGTCCAAAACTCGATCATCCCGTGCAGGGCTTCAGTTCCCCGTCGGTCGTATTCATCGTCTTCTCCGCAAGGGCAACTATGCTCAACGTGTTGGTGCTGGTGCTCCAGTCTACATGGCTGCAGTTCTCGAGTATCTGAGTGCTGAGATTCTCGAGTTGGCCGGTAACGCTGCCCGCGACAACAAGAAATCCAGAATCATCCCCCGTCACTTGCAGTTGGCAGTCAGAAACGACGAGGAGTTGAACAAGCTTCTTGGTGGAGTCACCATTGCTCAAGGTGGTGTTCTTCCCAACATCCAAGCTGTTCTTCTTCCCAAGAAGACCGAAAAGAAAAGCTCTTAAACAGTCCTAAACGGTTTACAACACAAAACAACGGCTCTTTTAGGAGCCACCACATGATGAAAAAGATCATGATCTATAACAATGCTACCCCCTTTTTCAACAATACTTTTAAAATATGTGTCTGTTAGTTTGCCCGCCAAATTCACATGCGCAATTTCACCAGTCATTTTAATAAACAAAAAGTGGTCAGCAAAATAAAATATAGGAAAAGTCTATACTAAAATCTGTGAGATTAAAAACCTAAAAGTATAAATATAAGAAAGGAGAAAATTACATTTAATATATATCAGACCTCCTATATATCCTATATTTCCTATGATTGGTATAGGATCCTATAAAGAGGCTATATTTAAAGAAAACCTATATTTCCTATAAATAGAACGACTGCTGATTGATACATTTATATTTTACACTGTTTAGCATATTTGGCGAAGGAAATAAAATGGCCCCCTTTTTTTTTTTTTTTTTTTTTTTTTTTTTTTTTTATGGGATTTTAGTTCTGCAAATCATTGCCTGTGCACCCTCCATCGTTACGCCACCGAAAAGCTATCTTAGCTCCGATAAAGTGCATATATTTTTTGGGGAAAATCCTATATTTTCCTTTGCACAGCCTATATTTCCTATCAAATTTGTCTAAAAAGTGCCTGACATGCATATAAACACAGAAACACAAAAAACCCGCGCCCACAAAACATATACCATATAACCATTCCCTTTATGACACGCGTTAGGCCATTTTGTATTTTGCCGCCTTTTCTAGTTTCCTACGCAGACGCTATGTTTCGTACGCAACGTTCACTATCCTAAGAAGCGTTTCATGACGACAGCACCATGGTTAGTCTCCTACGCAGGCGCTATTAGTTTCGTCACGCCACGCTCACTCACTCACTTAGGGGAGTAAGCGTTGCGTGCCGAAACTTTATAGCGGCTGTGTAGGAGACTATACCATGGCTTGATGTATCGCTTTACCGGTGTAAATCCAACAAGTAAGAGAAAGAGTATGGGATATGTTTTTCTGCTGTCATTTCTTACTACCGTTTCTAGTGCCCTAAAATCCTACAAAAATCAATCGGAGCACAGGCAGCCCAAACAAGATTCCTGTATATAGTTTATAAGGGAATGTACGGGAGTTATGATGTAGATATGMCAATAAAATGTTTCACTYAACAATTTGCTTCAAAACTTGCTGCAGTCGTTGCTTGTACCTTGTTCAGTCTTCTGGCGAAGTTTTAGCGCAATTTGGGGCCGTTTAGTTAGAGACACCTCCCAAGAAAATTATTTTTAATTTACCAGAGGTACATCAGTTTTTGTTTTCTTTTAGCCTTTTAATTAAATCTCTCGTATAATTAAAATATTTGGAATTGAATATAACTGTGTTAACATATTCTTTCAAATAAAGTATGGTATAAATAATGGCTTAAAACTTTTCCTACGTATAAAATAGATATAAATTCTCTTACGATATTAAATATTAATATTTGTAAATACCTATTAATATATTAATTAACAATAGAAATTTTTGCTTACAAATGTCCTAAGAAATTATAGATTACATGCATGACTTATTCTCGCTTGTATATTACTTATATGTAAGATTGTCAGAAAAGAATATTCGCTCTGTTCTGTATTCTACAACTTTCGTATCATCGAGCAAGCTCATGGTACGGAGTCACATAGTTTTGCTTCTCGTTTTTCGAGGGCCATAAGTTAGCCTCGTAAATTAAAGACTTAAATAAAAAAACTTAAAAAATAGTCAACAACTTTTCAACCAATCACAACGCTTGACGTAACTAGTTTCTGACATTACTTTCCACTTGAAAAAGACGAGTGTAAGACTGCGAACGAGCACGTCCACGAACAATTGATGATTTCAAAAATATATTTTCATTACAAGAAAGACAATGTCTAAAATAGTAATTTTGGAAAGCTCTGTTCTCAAATATTAAACCTTGAAGAGTTATAAGTTATACCGCAAACATGATAGCGATAGTATTTTAAAAATAATCTCTGAGATTTTACTGTCGTTCTACTCTAAGACAGTAAGACAAGTATATGAATTATGAAGATAGGATACAGTTTGCTATGTATGTATACGTATCGATCATATAAACGTCCTCTTCTCGGTACTTGCCCAAGTATTTAATCACTTTTTGTGTTCTCTTTATGGGTGTACATCCTGTCTGCCTCTTGCACGTCATCTCTAGAATCATAAACGGTTGACGATCTTTCTCCTTGTTAATTGTTACGTTGGCAATGCAGGTTTGAACGCTTCGCTTGACTCTCGTCATATGCCTTTCGTTATTACTGATATCTTCATGAAATCCGGAAAAAAGTTCACTTCTCTGTTGTTGTTGTTGTTCGTGTTGTTGTTGTTGTTTTAGCTGTTGAAGTCTCATACTAGCGGTGTCAAGAAGTATGGATCCAAGTGCATCGTATGTTTTAGCCTCTTTCTTCATTGTCCCAGCTTTTTCCAGAAAGCGAGGCAATGGATTACAGTCGTCGATAAACAGGAACAAAAATCCAAGCATTACGATAAATATTGGGAAAGAGTTCTAGAAATTGAAAAAACAATGAGAAACATCAGTACTAAACAATTGGGTCATTGTTTCAAAATAGACCGACTTGCACTAACAGGTCACGTGACCCCATCCCCTTAAAACGAGCAAATGAGTCAAAATGAAATCCAGAAATGAAAAGAGCACCTCAAATTTAGTAAGAGGACGAATTTTCAGCTCGAAATGTTAACTATAGAAGAAATGACATTAAATATAAAATCAAATATTTTACGAGGATTTGTATGGGAAAAGGGTTGGCTGGTAAGCTTTTGCAATGCAACGCATTTGCACATACAGATCCCGTTGTAGGACATTCAATTTTAAATCTAATACCATTTATCCTGTTTCGCTTATTATGGGCTGACACTCTGCCTCCCTCCTAATGCCGAGATGCTCTTTTCTTTCTGTTTTTTTATGTTGACCAAACTGCTCGTTTTGAAGGAGGTAGGGTCACGTGACCTGTTCTTGCATGCAAGTCGTGTATCAGTATCGTACAAGGAAAGTAACGTGGAAAAGATCTATTGATGCATGGTTTGCCTGTGGTAAGATTTACAGATGCAAAAGTAATGATGGTAAAAGAAGAGTTAGAGTGACGCCCTACAACAGGTGAATACATACTCATCAAAAAACACAAAAAAAAATGGGTACTCTATATTCGCTATTGTCTGAGTCGAGACCATGAATCCCACGTGACTATGTAGATTGAGTTTGTGCATGAGGTCTCTCCCTTGATTTGAGGCATTTTCCCCGAGTTCTCCGGTTTTTCTTTCTCCGCCAAACCTTACACGTTAGATTCCAATTCGAAATGTGTGTTTAAGCGTGCCATTGAAAGCAACAGCTCACCAACTCGAGTTCTTAAGCCCTCTCTAAGCTTAAGAATAGTTTGGATTCATATATTGAACCGCAAGTCAAAAGTTAGCCGCGGATGAGACTGAATGTTGATAAGTAAACCAAGCTCTTGACTCGGGTGTAGAATTCTTTCATTCCGTAGACAGCAATAATTATCTATAAGAATGTTTATCAATAAATCACAGACGTTTTTTCGCCTTTCTTTGAAGTCAAATTTTCCGTTAAATGGCGTAAACAGGATATCTTCGATACAAGATACCGGTACATAATCGATCGGAATTCAGTGCCCGCTATATTTTAAATAGAACGAATACTCGCAATACTACTGCATTGACAGTTGTTGATCGTCAAATGAACAGGACTGTAAAATGGACTATTGGTGAAATTGTTACCTGCTAAGCAAGAGTAACTCACACATTTTTACAGTTTGGTTTCTCTCAAAGTATCCTTGTATCATTAAACGCGGTAATACTAAGATGGACCGCAAATGGATAGAGAAGGAGTTGTAAATTCTTGAACTTAGTGCGCCACAAGTATATCCACTAGTAATCCATAGGGTTGAGTACTATTTTCTTCGCCGTCTCTATCTTTACCCTCAAGTAGAAAACGAGGTGTTGAAATTTCATCCGAAAAATATTTCACCAATTCCCGAAACGAAGGAACTTCCATATTGAAGTTAGAAAAGATTGCGCTACGGTTCTCTTATAGTAAAAATGCATGGTAATTCAAAGATTCTAGTTAAAGTTATCCTACAAAAGATGTAAAGAGCACATAACTTGCCTTAATAAATACTTTCACCATGTTGAATAGTACAAGTGGTCGTTGACTAGAAACGAGATGTAGTCGTAGAGGGTTCGTTGTCGTTGTCGTAGAGGGTTCGTGGTTCTGTCGTTCTCGATCTGAACTGTCACGATTCAGTTTTCAAGCTTTATATCGATAAATTATTTGATGCGGGGAATCTTCCTGATTTATTTTGTAATGCTATTTTTACTCAAGTTTAGTCATATTCCAATCACTTCTGCCGTTATAATTAACCGCAGATTCCGATAAGCTGTCAGAGTCCCCGATTGCGCCGGCCTCGCCCGAGCCTAGATTCGCAATCTTGTAATTGTGCTTAGCTGTCGCTCTCCGGATAAAAAGCTTTGCGTGTGAGACAGGATGAGAAAAAGTTTGTCAATGAGCAAAAAACACATTTCAGAGGAAACTCCCAAGATTTTGATGCAATACAATCGCGGTAAGCGCGTTGGTCAAATGAGTTTTTCCCGCTCAATGGTTTTCACGGCAACACTGATGCAATAAATCATTGTTCAAACTACGTATACGTTGTTACTTCTTAAAGTTTAAAAATGTATCATTATCTTATTATATAATAGTTTCCGGGACGCACTCTAGGCGAACGACCAAAACTACAAACTTGTAGAAAATGATTCATCATATAATTCCAGTGATTATAACAAATAACCATAAAATTGGAGAAAAATCGTTTTCTAATAACCTAATTCACGTTAAAAACCTTTAGGAGACTTTCCAGTGGAGGACATTAAGGAAATAGAGGTTCAAAAAGTATAAAAAAAGCCGTCATCGCGAATACGTGCCTATCATCACCCACGCTCATAGCATAATGTAACGATTTCCTCATGCACGAGAGTGAGTTTTTTTATTCAACGGCTTTACACAGGCCGAGGACAAACTCGAAGTCCAAACAAGTTAACCTCGGCCTGAGACAAGATACACGTAATATATTACAATTTAAAGTATAAAGAAAAATTATAACTAGGGAAGAAAAAAAAGAAAAATCTGAAGCTAATACTAGTAGTAAATATAAACCTAATATATAATCTTTGCCATTCTAAAAACAGTTACAAATTATACATTGTACTCTGTAGAGTCCCAATTAAATTCCTCTATTTTGTTGAGTGTATTATAAACAAAAAAATCGCACAATCTTCTCGTACAATTCGGAATTTATAGATACTGGTGATGTTTTGAAAATTATCGAATTGGACTCGCCCTATAAAAAGGCTCATCCAATAAAACTTTCAAAACATTACTCGTACCTATAAATTCCGAATTGTACTCGAGATCGTGCGATTTCCTATACTACTAATTGTAATAAAAATATCCTCTCATCAGATGAACTAAAACGACAAAAAGAAAATATAATAAAGTTTCTTAAACTTCATCAAAAGCGCGCGCTGATGTAAGACAGATTCAAGTCAAAGTTTACAAGGGCGAAAGACAACCAACAGTACTTTCTTTCCTGATTTCTATTACTGATGACAGCTGAAGTCTTATTCGAAACGTCTACAAAAAAAAAAAATCATTTTACAGACACACAAAAGCATTGAAACCAAATTATTTAACTTTTCATGTTATATCCATGGTGAAAAATCGTTTTTACAACTGCACTAAATTAGGCACAGAAGACAAAATAATTGACAAACAAGAAAAGATGTTAAAACTGATGAGCTTAGTAAAAAAATTAAGGCTTACATATTTCCTTAAAATTGAAGATCAGAGAATTTCATCAAGCAACATTATATTTAATCCTGGTGTTAACCCCTTTACCCGGCCCGTAGCAGATTAGGGAAGTCAGTACCCCGCACGCGCAAGGAAGCCGCTACTGTGCTCGCTAAGCCGATTTAACGTAAACTTAGATTATGTTCTCTTTTATCGAGAAATCAAAGATTTTCATACTAATAGGAAATGAGTAAACACTGGGATTGTAATGAGCAGAATTTCAATGTTCTAGTGACCTTTGAAGCGAGGAATTTTTTCTCAGTTATGGAACCCTGAAACAATCTCTGGGCTGAACTGGACATTAAGTTAAAAAAATACTCAGAGGTGTTTAAATATCTAGCAAAGTTCAACTATTTGCTCGACATGTATTTAATTATAAAGTACATTAGAAAGAGGGGCCAATGGGACTAACAATCGTAAGTTAACTACAATTTTTTCGGCCAAATGTCGGTTAAATGTAATAATTTTACGAGCGCTGATCATAATATGAACCACAATAATGAAATATGAGTTAACTGTTAACTACTAATTTTAGGATATTTTTAAGAACATATAACTAGCTAAAAACTAGTGTGAGCTGCGTCGGTGTTTCTAATGAAACAGTAATGATAAAAAGGTAAATTATACACCGTGAAAAGATGAAAAAACTTACTGACGTTTCGGACGCTAGTCCTTAAGTTAACTACAATTTTTTAGCTAATTGTCAAGTACCTACTAACCCCATTAACTCCCTCTAGAAACTATTTTTGATCAGTCACATTACGATAGTGAATTTCAAATCGCTTTTATTTTCCTCTATGATAGGCTTGCTTGCATTGTTAGGCTATTTTGGTTCTAAAAGCTTATTCTATATACGAGAATAGTTGTCTCTAATTAGCACAAATGACGTCAAAACCAATCAAATAACAAACCAACCCGAACATCTACGCAAACACACTCAAATATACGATAAATCATTTTAGAAACTTCTAAAACTATATTTACTTCAACTTAAAGTTTGTAATATTTCGCGTTATTTGGCTTGCACTTTACGTGTTTGGAGAGTCAGTGTGTATTTAAAGTGGAAGTACAACAGACTAACCACATTAATATAAGGAAGAGCAAATGTGTTTAATATTTAGCTTGTCGGGAAGGACGTAGAGAAGTACGTAGTAGTTTGTAACTGTGTTGCGTGCTCGATGACGTACAATGTCATTGAAACGTTTCCGATTATTGAAGATAAATTTATGTTAAAAATGAAATGTTTTTTTACCTTACTGCTTGCAAGAAAAGCAGAAAGAATGAAAAAGAAAGAAAGAAAGAAATATGAGTAAAAGAAAGAGGAAAGAGAAGAAGACGAAGAAATGGAAGATAAAAGGGAGAGGAGAGGAAAACAACGAAAACAAAAACTCACTACTGCTACGAAACAAAACAAAACAAAAACAAAAAACTCTGAGGTATAAAAGAAAAGCAGAATCCATAGTTCTCCCCAACTTGCTTTCTCAGTAGCCAATTCAGTTGTTGTAAAATACATTGGGACGTCTTCGACTGCATTATAAAATTGAAATGTCACTATTGACGAAATCAAATCAGTTCCGATCGAACAGTTTGGCCGGATGCTTTGATTCAATGCACTTTCCGCCTTCACGAGGACATGAAACCATGCAGGAATAACAACAACTAAGAATTCGTTTAACATAAATTCATCCTTTCTTTCGCTGTTCTTAGCAAAAAAATAAGTCGTATAGTTTATATTTCCATAAAAATAAAAACATACTTTGAGAAAGTTTATCGACAAACGGGTTAATTGTGACTTGTTTGAACGTTTTCAGAAACTTTATTTTGGGAAAATTAACAGAGGAAAGGTCTTGTATGTCCTTCTTCACATTCTGCTTTATTACTAGAATTCGAAGCCATAAACAAGCAGAAAGCCGAAGAAAAAACACGAGTGAATGCTATGTTTTGTGTTTACTAATTTTTTGGGAGTTTTCGGTTTATATATGTACTTCACTAAACCCGTCTTATTGTCAGTAATGATTCCGGTGCCCGAAGTGAACAATTTTATGGTAAAATATTTTGTTATGATTTGAGTAATGGATCTTAAAGAAATATCAATATTTATTGGGCTCCTAATATATTGATAACAAGCTTTATATAGAAGTACGTTTTGCAAAGAAAATTATTTCTTTTTGTGGAAGTATTTTTGGTTCTCACTAATTTGTATCGTAATTTTAACGGGTTTTTGAAAGTCCTTTTTACCCTCGTTGATTCGTAAGAGTTTTTGGTTTCTACAGAGTTTCCACATAAATTTTTATGCTTTTATCGTAATCTCAGTCTCGTTTTTCGAAACCTTTTTAACTCTTGCTCTTCTCGTTTGCTTCATTACGTACAGTCCTATTTTACACACAGTTTCTTGTTTTTATCGTACGTCTTGTTCAAACCTGCATTTTTCTTTCTCTTTTTTTTTTTTTATGTTAATTTTTTTTCCAAATCTTCAGCTTTCTCCTCTATTCAATTTACTTATTCTTCAATTTCATGTTTGTTTTTTTACTTTTTACTTTGACGGCGTAATCCAGCTAAGCTGACCTCGAGTTTCGAAAGAAAATACTATTTATAATAATATATAATAATATATATTATTTATTTATCTATAATATTAAATTTATATAAGTATACTTAAGTTTACATAATGTTGGCATGTTCAAAAAACTTAATTTTCAAAAAATAAAATAAACCAGTTTAAAAATTATCCTGAACCGTGCGTAACCATGACGATAGCTTATCTAAACAATGTTACTGGACAAGCTGTCACCTCGCGCTCTGATTGGCTCACAGAGCTCGTGTGTAACCGTGCCGTGTGCTCTCAGTGTTTATTCTCATACAAAATGCACGATAAACATTGTTATTTAAATCCTATTGACTGTTGAAACATTTGCGCGCGGCACGGCACGGTACGGAAATAACGACATACGCACAGAATTCCTGCTTATGCCAGTAAGAACGATCAGTCACAGCACATTGCATCCGTACTGTAAATTCCACGTCGTAGTCGTACTGATGTACTGACGTACTGACGTATAGACGAGATTCGTTTGCCTACCTATGCGCACAGGATTCCTGTTTATGCCGTAAGAACGTTCAGTCTTTCTCCGGCACGGCACGGTGCATCCGTACTGGAAATTCCACGTCCTTAGTCGTTCTGACGTATTCAGTGGTGTTCAGTTCTAGACGAGATCCGTTAGGCAACCAATGCGCAAAGATGTCTGCTTATGCAGTAAGAACGATCACTTTGGCGCCTTCAAAGTATGGTGCATCCGTACATTAAGTTCCTTGTCCATAGTCCTACACAATATGCTCCGTATGCCAAGCTTAACGACAGACGCCATGCGATTTTTCGTTTACAATCATTTGTGCGTATTTTCAGTTACTGGGCTTTACATAACAGAATATACAAACTTAGTTCTTATTTTTCTATTTTTTTCTATCTGTTTCTTTAGCTTATCCAGTTTCGATTCCAGCTGAAGTCCATATGGACTTCTTATTCTAGTGATTGTACTTTTAAAGCTAGCCCGTGCTGTTGGCTGACGAACCGTTTGGACAGGTTAGAATACCAATGATACATAGTCAAATATATGCTTTAAAAAGTTTATTTTAAGATCGATTATATCAAACACTTGACCGCGGACCGAC